TATCTTTGGTCAAAGTAATAAGAGCTGCCTTGCCAAAACTTGTAACCTTTTCTTGTTCATGTGTGTCAGCCTCTTGTGCCATAAGTTTATTGAAGCGTCATCCTCAACGATATTTATCTGGTTGTCATTCAGTTACATTTATGTCTTATACATTGCACAACATAGTTTTTTCTTGCAACTACCATAGATTATTTGAGAAGCTTTCACTGCCCATTCTTTTGTCGACTTTTATATCCTTTCTTATCAAGGACATTAATAGTAAGTAAATTTATTCTCATAACTGAAATGTGTCTAACATCTTTCAAATTCAGCATACAACTGGTACTAGTTTATACAATAATATCACAATCTCAATAATCTATGACACATTCTTGTTTCTTATCTTAGTGCAACTAAAGTCTCATACTTTGTAAGTTGTAAACAATTTTCTCTTTGAAACATAATGATATGTCACTTTTGTGTCAATTACTCACTCAATGTTGGGATTACTAATGTGATTACAATTACCATGTATACAAATCAAAGTAACTAAATTATTATCTGAATTCACTATTGCAATATTGTCATTATTTGAACTCTTGTATTTCTCATCTTTTTGCTTTTGCTTTAAGATTTTACAATATAATTTTATATGACCTGTTTTATCACAATGGAAGCACTTCACTTTATCTTTAGACTTAGATCTATGTTTAGACTTACTATAACCTTTTGAGTTTTAACCTCTATCGATGTTTCTACCCTTGTTCTCTATTACTAGAGCTTGATTTTCAGAGTCTAAATCTTTTCGTCTTACTTTTTCATTAAGTATAATGTCCTTTATCATCTTTAGTGTCATCTTGTAATCAAGAGCTGAATTAAGAATAGTCATAACTAGAGTATTTCAGTTGTCTGACAATGAATTCAAAAGAAATAATACCTTCATTTTATCATTTATCTTAAGCTTTATAGTAGTTATCTAATTAAATATATCTTAAAAATCACTCAAGTGCTCTGTAATTGATCGTCCATCCATGCACTGTAAAGTTACAAGCTTTTTAACAAACGTAACTTCATTAATACTTGTTTTTCTTTCATATAATGCTATCAATTTTTTTCAAATAGTGTAAACATCTGTCTTTTGCACTACATGATGAAACATGTTGATATCAATCTATTTTTTAATTGTAGCCAACGTCTTTCTACTTAACTTCTTCAGCTTTCATCATTTATATTTACTGGTTTAGTCGAATCACCTAATCATTTAATATCGATTCATGCAAATTTTTGTAGTATAAATGATCTTCCATCATAGGCTTTCAAATTAAATAATTTGATGTTGTCAATTTTATCATAAAATCTGTATCATCTTTCATGATCTTAAATAGAATTTACTTTTGTCTTGGATTGTTTTTGTATCGATCTCTCAAAATAACCCTCGCTCTGATACCCCTTATTAGGCTTGAAGTAATAAACACAATAGTACAGAAGCAATATATCGTAATAAACTAACAGCAATAGATAACAATTAATAATAAAAAAAGTAAGAAAAATAAAGCATATCAAGATTTATATAGACAACCTTTTAGTATAGAAAAAAAAATCACAGACTATTAGAAAAATCTCTGCTATCAAATAATAAATATATAATATATTTTTTTAGCTAAAACTAGAGCTAATCAACAACTAGATAGATAATTGAAGAAATCTCACAAAATAGATCACTCAACAAACACACCTTAGATTTTTTCTTAAAGAACTTCAAACCCAATTTTCACTATTCAAAATGTAAAACTCTGAATAATAACATTGCTGATAAAATTTCAACTTAATTAAACCACAAATCGACTTTTGTTCAATCAACTCTCTTTTTTCTCTTTATTTTTTTTAACTTTTCTTCTTTCTCTTGGTTTCAGCACCACTCTTTATTTTTTTCCACCCCAAAACTAGCCCTCACATCTTTTGTTATGTAGGGCTCTATTAGGGTAGCCTAAAACACAAGGCCTATGGCCTTTGAAAAGCCAAATAACACATGGGGCTGGACCTCACATATTCCTAACAATTTAAACCTTTAAAAGGAGATTTTCATAAGAACGATGATTGCTACCATTGATTTCCATTTCTTTCAGGTTCAACCATTGCCTTCTAAATTATCATTATTAATCATGTTGAGAGGGAAGAACTTTGAAAAGTCTCTATATAAGAAACAATCCATGGGCTTCATATAAGAAAAACCAATTGTATCAGTAATTTTCATGGCAAAAAAAGAGTTGCTCATGCAAATAACAAAATTTTGTAACAATCTCTAATATATAAGCAATGGCCAATATTTATGATCCTAACAATTATAGCCCTATTCGAAACTTCTTAGACAAAGCTCCATACAATTTATACTACTTTATTATACATCAAGCAATAAAACTACAACAAAAATGAAAATGACAAATTGAGAAGTAATGGCACCGACCATCATAATAATCATTTATTTTGACATTGTCCATTTTATCAAGTCAATATTTACTATAAAATTATATTTAAAACATAATTAACCATTAATTAACATGTGAATTTAATTGTTGTTTGTATTATATACTGTATTTTGGGTTTAGGAGTGTATGTGATCACAAAGCCTAGTTTTCAAAACTAATTTGATACTTTTTCAAAATAAAATTGAAAAGAAAGAAAAAAATAATGGGGGAAACAACAAATGAAGAAAAAAAAGTAAGAAAGCAACAATAATAAAAATATACCTTTAAAGAAGAAGGAAATCTTTTTCAACACTTTTGTAGAAGTATTCACTGGTCAATTTTATATACAAAAGACCCATATTGACAAAATTAGGCTTTATAATTAAATATTCTTTAATCAACTTTAACTACAAAACAATCATATTCATAAATTATCAAAATTTAAGCTTTATAATCAAATAAATTCAAATTATTTTACTAGAACTCCAAGAAAGAAATAACAAAAAAAAACCTAATTTTTGGTGGAGAAAATAGAAGCTGTGGTGATGGGGTCAAAGTTTTAAAGCAATTCGTCCATTCTCTTCCTCATAACTTCAATTTCTTTAGGGTTACAACTAAAAAAAAAAAAAGAAAGCAATTTTTGAAATTTGGTTAGGTAAAACACAGAGTAAAAAAGTAGCAGCTGTATTGCTTTTGTAAAAGAAATTATTTTTCATTTAATTATACTAAGACATTGTAAGAAAAAATTGTAAAAAAACAAATATTTAATAGGCATAATAGAGTAATCAAATATACAATGCAAAAAATCAAACATTACATAAACTTAACAAACCTAAATACATAATATAAAGTAAACAACATATAAATAATTTATACTAATCTAAAATTAAATATCCAAAGAACTTCAACAAATCTGAGACAAACAAAATCTGAGACAACAAAAAAAAAAAAATCAATTGAAAACAAAATCATAACTTCATTCAAATAACATGCAAAACAAAATCTGAATCTAAAAATAAAAACCAATTACAATAGCAATAAAAAAAAAGCATCATCAAAGAAAATGACAACTAAAAACTTTTTAATCCAACACAGAACATGCAAAGATAAAATCTTAAAAAAAAAAAATACATTCATAACAACATACAAATCTTCCAACCACGTAACCCAAACACCATTAAACAATCAAATTTCATTGAACAAAATTAAAATTTGTAGTACCAATATCATCATAACAAAACTTAAAACAAAAAATCCACATCCAATTAAATAATAACAAGAAGCAAATATTTTCACCCAAAAACGCTTGAAAAAAAAAAGAAATAATGAAAGAAAAAACTCACACACAAAACAACATATAAAACAATTCATACTAATATGAAAATTAAATATCTAAAAAAATTCAACAAACTTTGAGATAAAAAAATCAATCAAAAACAAAATCATTATTTCATTCAAACAACATGCAAAACAAAATTTGAATATGAAAATAAAAAATAATTACAACAACAATAACAAAATTGTCAAAGAAAATAATAACTAAAAACTGATTTTTATCTAGCATCAGAACATGCAAAAACAAAATCTTTCCAAAAAAAAAACACATTCACACAAACCTCCCAAGTATAGAACTAAATCCTCATTCAATAATCAAATTCCATTACACAAAATACTATGTTTCTATAAAAAAAAAATTACAACACCAATAAAAATAAATAATGTCAAAGAAAATAATAACTAAAAATTGAATTTCATCAAATATCACAACATGCAAAGAGAAAATCTTCTAAAAAGAAATACATTTACAACCACATCCAAATCTCATAACCATAAAATTGAAACCTATTCAATAATCCAACTCCATTATACAAAATAAAAATGTGTAACAGCAAAATTCTCTCAACAAAAACTTAAAAAAAAAAAAACTCTATGTTCAATTAAACAACATAAAAAAACCATATATTTTATCTAAAAATGCCTTAAAAAATAAGGAAAAAAATCAAGAAATACATGCCAAAAAACATTCTTTTTGACGCCAAACTTTTACTTTTTGAAACAGTAATAAAAACCTCAAAAAAAGCTTTGAAATTAAAATTAAAACAACCTTGTCAAACATAAAAAAAAAAAAAAAAAAACCAATAACCTGTTAAAGAAGCTTCTGCTTTTTGGTCCCAATCAAATATAAAAATATTGTAAAACATGTCACTTGTTCCCTTGCAAGTGTCAATGCCGAATCCCTTAAAGATACTTTTTTACATAAGGGAGTATTGATTACAAATTATAAATTATTCAACCTAAATAATTTTAAATTGTACGATAGAATAAAAATTAAAAATTTTATTTCTTTACCGAACAGAAGATGAATAATAGAGGAATCATTTTACATGTTAAATCATTAAAAGTAGTAGTATTATTTTGAAGATAAAAACCCTACTCTTTACATAACAGTAGAGAGTATGCGTGCGGCTTATACATGTTGAACGGTTCATCTGAAAATAGAATCACTTCTTAAACTGATAACTTCTCGAGCTACCGAACAAATCTCAAAAAAAAAAAAAAAAAAAAGAAAAAGAAAGGACTAACAGGCAATAGTTCCCTGTTTCAATTTCTTACGGCTTTCATTTCTAGCAAAAAAAAATGACAGATGCCACCAATAAATCAAGAACCATAATCTGCATAGGAGACATCCATGGTTACCACAACAAACTCCTCAATCTTTGGTCCAACCTCCAATCTCAAATCGACCCAGAATGTTTCAACACCGCCACCGTCATCTTCCTAGGTGACTACTGTGACCGTGGACCCGACACACGCAAAGTAATGGATTTCTTAATCTCTTTGCCGAAGCAGTATCCCAATCAGAAGCATGTCTTTTTGTCAGGAAACCATGACTTTGCTTTCGCCGGGTTTGTCGGGGTGTTGCCGGGGGAGTTTGAAGCGAAGGACACTTGGCAAGAGTATTTGGATATTGAGGAAAGAGAAGGGTGGTATAAGGGAGAAGGGTATGAAAAGATGCATTTGCAAGGGAGGAGATGGGCTGGTTGGATTAAGGCTAAGTTTAATGCTGCCAAAGGGATTGAGTACAAAGGTTCCATATATGATGCTGCTCCTACGTTTGAATCTTATGGAGTATCTCATGGATCTTCTGGTGATGCATCCTTTTTTTAATTTTGGATGTTTGGTTTTTCCTTTTCTTGTATGGCTTTGCTTTTGATCAAGGTGGTTTTTTAGTTTAAGGTTTATTCTTTGTTTTTTAGCGATAATTAAAAGGTTTTGGCTCTTCAATGATAGTTTGGATAGTTCAATGGTATATGAAGATTGACATTCTTAGATATTCATTTTTCAATTGGATTATTGTGTTTGATACTCGGTCATGCAATTTTAACTGAGATTTGGGGTTTTGAGGTATGGGCAAAATATTGGGTGGGAAATGGATTCTTGATTCATTCATGGTATGATTCTAGGTTATATATTTTTTAAGGAAAGAATGATTGTATTAGATATTAGTTAGGTTTTTTTGGATTAGAATTATTCTCCCTTATATATGTCAAAGTTTTTTTTTTTGCTTGGAAAATCTTGATTCCGTATCTTTACTCTAAATTGAATGAGGAGTTTTTTTTGTCTACAGATTTGATTATGGCTGTTCCTGAAGATCACAAGAAATTTCTAGCTGATATGGTTTGGGTTCATGAAGAGGTATTCCTTTTTCAGCTCTAGTTCTCTTCTGTCTTTCTTCTCTCTGGTATTCCTTCTTCTCTTTGCTTTTCTTAGCTTTTAGAACACTGAATGTGATCAGAATGTGCTAAATGCTTTAACAGCAAATTGCAGAAAAGTAAGTTAGAAGCACTTCTTTAGTTTCCTGGAACAATAATGTGCAGGTTAGCTATGATGTTATATTCTGAACTAGAGTCAAGGTGGATACTTAGTTGGTGTTTTCAATGTGCAGGATGATGTCTGTATGGGGACAGAGGAAGGACTTAAACATTGTAAATTGATTGCTGTACATGCTGGTTTAGAGAGAGGTAAAAATGTCCAAGAGCAGCTGGAATTTTTGAAAGCCAGAGACAGCCGTGTGCCCAAGGTAACAGATCTCAGCGGGAGGAAAGATGTTTGGGATATCCCCAAGGTAATGAATGGTTCACTACCTATGACACAGCTCTTATACATCTTTGACATTGTTTTTCTTATGCACACACACACACACACACTTGATATTCAACTTCTTAATTACTACTTTGCAGCTTAATTTTGGAGGCTTAATAACATGATTCTCATGATACAAAGTTGAGATGTAAGTATTGGTGTTGAATATCTTGCAGGAGCTAACTGAGACAATTGTGGTAAGTGGTCACCATGGGAAACTTCACATAGAAGGTCTTAGGCTGATTATTGATGAAGGCGGAGGAATGGAGAGTAATCCAGTGGCTGCAATCGTGCTTCCTTCAATGAAGATAGTCCGTGACACGGATAATTTTTCTTAGTTTCAAGTTTCTAGAAGATAGTCATCAGATATCCACTTGCTTTCTGACTTCAACGAAGCATATGATCCCTTGTTCTTGGGACATTAAGTATCTCCAAGCCGGTAGAAATAAAAGTGAATTTGGATGCACTTATTAGGTAATTTTTCTTCTAATCTGTTTACTATATCGTCAATTTACAGATTATATGGAAACCAATTACTGGTTTTTAAATTTCCTAAATGGATAATTCTGCAAGTTGTCCATTATGTTAATAGCATATGTTCTGTATTGGATGGTTCATGTGGGTTGGAATTTTGGATAAAGAAGAGACATATCAATGATTATGTTCAGTAGGTTTTGGGCTTTTGGCTCAAGTAGATTTTGGAAAGAATTTATGAAACATCTTGGTTTTGAAACAAGGCAAATGCACAAAAACTGCCGTCCATCCTTTAAATTGGTTAAAACTTGAAAGACTATATGCCATATATACAACTTTTCATCACAACAAAAGTTATTGAACAGAAATTGTGAGTGGTTTTAAGGATTCTATGAAACAAACACAATGGCATTTAAGGTCATATCAAGATGTGGATTTGTATATTTTATAATCAATGTTGCAATATAAAAGAAATGAATAGAATGCATCCCTTCCCTTTGTATTCCCACAAAGGAAAAATGAAAAATAAAAAAGTTTTTCACTCGTAGTCAGAACTTTCAGAGCTTGATCCATTTCGTTTATGACCAACAGCACCATCGGCCACAGCTCCGTTTCTCTTTGAATCTTTTTTATCCTCTTCATCTTTGCTGTATTCACTCTCATAATCATCATATCCATCTTCATCCTGCTCTTTCTCCTCAATCCCCTCTACCATGGCAGCTCCCTCTTCTGACAAGGAACCTCTCAACCTGCTCTGACTCCGTTTCAATATTTTGATCTTCAAGTTTGTCTTCTTATCACAACCAATCCAAGAGTCACACAAGCAGAAAGCAATCTAAGTTATAATTTGCCTCAGCAGGAGCCTGGAACTTGCCCATTACTAACCTTGACCCACTCTCAACATCTTCTCTAACGGCTGCATTTGTCTCCTTCAGGCTTGCCCGACCCTTCCTTCAACCGTTGCATTTCTTTAGATGCCGCTGTTATGGCCACAGCCTCATCCATGAAGCTCACCTTCTGGGAGATCCAAACATTATTGGAGACAGATTCAGCAAGCAGTAACCAAAAAATCTCCTCCTTGTGGAAGAGGAAGGAACATGAGGAAGAGCAGCAACAAGGCCACTCGCACGCTTGAGTGTGATCCAAGCATGCATTGTGACAATATCACCCTCTTGTATCCCCTCTTCACCTTCTGTCTTCCACGTGAAATCAATTGTCAAGGAAGGCATCATTCCTAGAACCAGCTCCACATCTTTGGTTTCAGCAGTAGATAAACCTGCAACCTGAGTAGGTAGTTCAACTCGAACTTCCAAGGTCCATGTCACGAATCTTGAAACATTCATACTTTCTGCAACATAATGACAGGGAATTTTCAAACCAAAGAACAATAGGAAACCGACGCAAAATTTCAACAATGACGCGTCCTATGATTCATGCATGTTACATCACAACATCAAGGCAATATCTTGTTTTATAGAGCATTTGCCAATCTGTACAAGCAACAATGTAACATTTTCACCACCTTTCTAAGATGATTGAACCTTTTCCAAGAGTGAAAATTTTCAATCTGAAGTCTCTGAGGCTTTAGCTAATGAATCAGGGTTTTGATCAAATAACTTAATCCAAAAAATGATCAAATGGTTGAGATAGAGTGTGTCTTATGATATAGAAAACTAACCAAGCACCAGACCAATATAACCCAAATAGTAGCCTAGATATAGGTGGCAACATAGAATTACTGTAGATGCATCGAGACTCTTTAGTAAGTCAAAAAAAAAAAAAAGAGTAAAAAAAAGTATATCTCTACCTTCCGTGTTATCTTTTTGACCATGGCCTCATTAAAATGAGGCAGCTGTAGAAAGGGTGCAACACCTTCACTAGATCCTCCAGCAATCTTTCGAGCACTTAGCGGAAGTGCCTGATTCAATCAATAAATAAATAATTAAAAAAAAAATCAATCACTTCGTTGAAAGATATAGCAGCTTTAGAAAAATACCTCTCTCTTCTAATAAAAATAAAAGAGAATGACTAGGCATAACAGTATTAGAACAAATAGCAGTGAAGGCCAAAGCTGTAGAATTATTAGAAGAAAATGTTTACAAATAGGGATTTGGTTTGAAATTGTCAGTGAAAAGGCAGGAAACAAAACTTTGACATGTTTGGTCAAGTGCAATAGGAATAAAAAAATGACTTGTCAAAGGTGCACACACATTGGCAACAGGTATGATGGTGGTGCTACACCAAAATGTAATATTCCACTTCAATCTCTAGTAAGCAATACAGCCTGCTAATTTTGGGTCCGTTTAGGAAGCTGAACGTTTTAGAAGAGAAAAACTTGTACTCACCTATATGCTAAGGATATGCAAAAGCAAACAATCTAATATTTATGCTGAATAGACATACCTTCTAATTAACATTTTTTACTTTGATATGTTGCAAATGACTATATAAATGGAGGTAACTAAACATAATATTGGCATCAAAAGTGGCACCATTAAATCATTCACAAGGAAAACCCCAAATTTTCAGACAAACAAATAGATTCCAAACCAAGGAACATATATAGACATACCTGAATGATATTCTGAGAGAGCTCAACCACACCAATCACAGGTCTTAACCATCCGTCCCCTTGAGCAGTTCGTGGTATTAATGCCATCTGTATTCATATATAACATACTGACTGATACAACTTCCAAAGAATGCAGAATATATTGAGTTGCGAGCATCACTTTTTCAGAAAAGTAGAATAAGATGGCAGAGAACCTAGTAAACATACTCACACAGCAGTGCCTGCTACAAAGCAATACGGCTTTGCAAGCTAGGAATTTCAAAACATTAGGGCCTAGCGGGCATGTTAATTATCTACAAGATTATGATTAGGATGAGGGGCTGCAGTGGATTCTGAGACCAAGTTGTTTTATTTCACTTCTTCACCAAAGAAGCTGAAGATAGTAAAGGCACATGATTTCTTAGACAATCCTTCAAAACCCTTAGATGCCCCAATAATACCAAAAATTTTCAAGAACTGTTCTTATCAAAATGTTTGAATGTGGATGAATGTGCGAGAGAGATGATTTTCAAATATTGGTGTAACAAATTCATTAATGTGCTAGTAGAAGAGCTGAGAAATCTAAATTGGCCTTCATTAGTTCCTCAAGAAGGTGGGGTGAAAGCTCAAGCATGCATCTAAAATCACGCAGCAAAGCTGGAGTCAGGGCTGCAGACTTATGAGTCAACTAGGCCTGGATCAACAATTCTGCCTGAAAAGTGGAAGGTAAGGTAAAGTAGCAAGAATCATAAGACCTAATTCAGAGTGCTTGAAATAGTAAGATACTAGATGAAATAGAGAAAGGAATGAATGTGAGCCACCTTTACTAAAGCTGGGTGCTGCGTCCACCTTTACACTCTGACTTCAAGTCTCTACCATGTCAAGCACAAACTAGGAATAAGAGAAAAGGAGCCTGCCATCAACCTAGTTGAATTGTTGTCTGTTGGGGAAATTTTGAGACATTACTGAAAAAATTGTCATTCCAAGGTCTCTATATATTTAGAAACACAAAGTAATAGTTATTTATGATTGTTTCACACTAAACATCAAGTAGCAAATCAATATGGAGAAAAATCATACCTCGGAGCTAAAGAAGCTTTCATGAAGTAGTAGTTGGTAGACAATGTTTGATGCATCACATAATTTCCAGTATATTTAGCTGATCTTGAGCGATATATAACAGCCCACTATAAAGGCAGAAGAATGCATACTCCAACTATTCCCAGCAGAAGTATTCCAGCGATGCTCCATTATTCATCAGAAATGGAGGTAGGGCTATACCCATTTGAAGACCATAAATTATGAACGCAATGAAAATTGGCAAAAAATTCAGAATCAAACTCTCTCATTCAGGAACTGGTATTCTGCCAGAATGAAAGATGAAACAAGAAGTTTGTTACCTGCCTGCCATCTGGGTGGCCTTCTTTTCAAAATTCTCCCGAGAGACTGGTCTGGCAAGGCTTGATAAGCCTTTGAAATGTATTCAACAAAATACTCCTGGGCTGATGAAAGGGCAGGAGGAAAAAGTGGAGAGGTATTAGGTCTTCAAAAAGAAAAAAAGAAAATCAATATGCAGCGAAAACCAGATATGGAAACAAGAGTAGTGAACAACAAATAAAACTTATAACATGGACCTGGATCTTTATCAGGACGATACTGTATGGAAAGTCTCGTATACGCCTTCTTTATGTCTGAATCTGAGGCCCCAGATTCTAAATCAGGAAATAAAATGAATCGAACCATGTTCTACCATGAGAAACAGCTGAGGCACACCACGTACAGAGTATACAATGTCGATGAAAAAAAACAAACTGATAAAAGTAAAGGTTGCTTGCACTGATATGTCATCCAGATATTAACATATGAGTTATGACCATTCATTCCACATTAACAAAATCAATTAGGAGAGAATGCATGTCTGAACTTTCTCAATCCACACATGACATTAAGTTCTTTGCCTCAAACCCGAATTTCCAACATATAAAGGATGAGGTAGCAGCTAACTACAAGATTAATAATGTTCTCATCAGATATGAAGAACAAATGGAGTACCTCATGAATTGTAAGCTTGATGTAGTATATCAGCATCACCATGACAATCCAAAGAAGTACAAGGGTCAGATTACTAAATTTGAGAAGTTCGATATCTGCAAAAGCAATCCAAAGTAGCACAAATACTACTCAAATACCATTCCTGACAATGAATAAAGTGATATTGGAAGCAAATTTACCCATCTGAAATTAGATTTCCTACACTTCCCGCAGCAAGAACACATGGAACACTGGCATTGGATAGTCAATTGTCTTCTTCGAGAATGAATATAATATCATAACTAGAGAGTACGGCACCAATGGCAGAGCCATCCCATTATAGTCAACACAAGGATAGGGAACAATGCAGTGTTCTCCTCCGACACAGCCACATCGACCTTTTCACTTTAAAAATAGAACTTAACGAATTGTTTTCTTCTTTATATAACTCTGTTATAATATTTTGACAAACGATCAACACCTATGCATTTCTCTTACCCATTCCAAACAATCAAAAAGATAATCAGAAAAATACAGCTAAAATCTTAATTCAGAATATGAGAATTTCTGTCCAGCAAGGAAATAATTTCGGCAGAAACGAAAATTTGTTGAACTTGAATTAGAAAGGATTGGGGAAAAAAAAAAGGAAGATTGATTTATTTATGGTTTATTTTGTTGTTATTAAATCTTATTAATGTTAGAATAGTTTGTCACCGTTATTAAGCATTTAATCTACCAAAATTATTTATTAAAAAACTTTTTATAATGTAAAATAATATAATTCACTGATATTCTAAACTACAAAAAAAAAAAAAAATGGATTGCACCAGTTAACAAAAGACAAGAGAAAAAGGAATAAGCCCCGTTGATTCCAGCTTCTTGAACTACGAGGAGGAGGATGGGGGTTTGATTAAGACCTTTGTTTGAATTTGCATTTTTTGCGTCAGAACAAATCTCCCAGAGAGGATGTTGCGTCGGTATATCAATGGACCACATTCCGATTCTCTACTTATCAAAAATTAAAGTATCTTCCGCAGTCACCCTGCAACATTTGCACTTGGTGACAGGCCTTGGTGGTGCCACAGCCCTCCGCTGGGATATCGAACCCAACGCAAATACAAAATAGAAAAAAAATGTTCCGAAAAAGAGGGGAGATACTCAGATGACTCCATTCTTCATACTATAACAAACAGCAACAAAAGATGGGCATATATCATGACAGATTTCGTACGTTAACTCAATTTATTTAGTTGGATTTTTTTTGAAAAGATAGAAAATGAGAAAATAAATTTATATCAATTCATATCAATATATGTTGATTTAAATTCAAGTCTTGTCTTTTTCTTTTATATTAATCTCAAATGTATATTTTAAAAACGAAGGTTATATATTTAGTATTTTCACTTTGATATATATGTTTTTATCATTAGACTTAACATTGATTAAATGTAAATCAAATTTAGTTGTTAAATTTATTCTCCCTAGTCCTTCATCTGGTAAAAAAATTTTGATTTTGAATTAAGATCTTCTTTCCTTTACTTCTTATGAGAATTATATCCTCCTCTGAAAAAAAAAAATTATCCTCCCTAACTCTTTTTTAAAAGGTTTGAAGAGATTATTGTGATACCTTTCAACAATAATTTTTTTTTTGTTAGTGTAGATATATCTTCATAATTTTTTACTTTTAAATTAATGAATTTTTTATATAAAAAATTACTATCTAACTATGAAAAAAAATAAATATTAACATTTAAATATAAAATTTATTAAATATTATTTATTAAAAATAATTATGTAAACTACTCGAATTAAAATAAAAACTCAAATAAATAATATTTGCTATATGTGGAAAAACCGTCAGTCAAATGATAGTTTTTTTTATGAGATTTTATCTTAATCTGAATTTAGAGTTTGTAATATACAACTGGTTAAATAAGATACGGTATTTTTTTTTTTACAATATAAGATAATCTCCATATTTAGTCATGTACTATAATAATTCGTAAAAATCAAATTAAGAAAAATGTAAATGCCTTAGTGAGCGCGCTGACTGACTACTGTTAGTCTATTATTATGAAATAGTATTAGGAATTAATAATTTAATAAATACAACTTATTTTTTCATCTAATAAAAAAAAAGTTATGCCTACAAACCAATTTGTCTTGAATTATAATTAGCATAACTCTTCCATGACATGATTATTTGATAAATTCAAATGAGCTTATACTAATTCATGTATATGTAAATTAATTCATAATTGTAATATTACAATTAAATTAATAATTATATATTATGTTAGAAAGTATAAAAATTTAAGATAAAAATAATGAGACCAGTAATATTATATATCATTAAAAAGTACAAAATCAAAAGTGAGATTAGGAATAATTTTTTTTTTGGAGTGGATGACCAATAATATTTTTATAAAATACATGCAACTTAATTCGCATTAAAGAAATTTAATTTTGATCCAATTTGTTTCGGTAAAAAGAGAATTACCAAAAAGGATTAAATTATAAATGCTAGAATGGTGAAGTTTGATGGCAAAAAAAACAAAAGGAAGATTTTTCATTTCATGGAAGTGAAAGTGGATTTCCTTATATTGTGAAAAAGAAATTGAAAAGAGAAAAAAGATAAATAAAAAAATAGAAATGACAACCACATGCTTCCCCAACCGTTCGATTCTGATCTCTTCTTCTGCTTTCTAAGCTGAATCCACGTGGCGGGCCATCGGGGCCAATCTGATTAAAATAAAAAAAGAGCATAGAGTGAGATGGACGGTCAAGATTGAGTTTGGAATCGGTCCTACATTTCAAATCTATTCCCCACACCCATCCCCATGCAATTCTCCACTACACACGTAGCAGTCCCGTTCATTTCATTTCCTTCGAAATTTTAAAGAAAGAAAAAATCTAACTGATATTTTTTTCTCTTTCACTCACACGACTCTCGGTGGCCTTGGAATTATCATTGGCGATATCTTCTCTTCTCTTCTTCTCCCTTTTCGGATCTGCCTGTTGTCATTTGCTCACCTTTTCTTGCCTTCCAAACAGAAGTAGAAACAAAAAATCGTGGA